CAGATCCGGGAAATACTTTCCAAGTCATTACTGGACCGTCAGACAGACCGACGGAAATGAGTAACATAGTTTTTGTGATCTACATGTCATATAATATCCGAAAAACGTCTCACATTCAAAATTTTTTCAATGACTAAAATACTTCCGCGCCGGGGAAGCAAAAACTATTTTTTTACGGAGATCTACAACATGATTTGAAGAACTGCGAACGTTAAAAAAACATATCTGCCAAAATGTTGTGGCCATGAAACATTTTTATGGACTACACTCAGGAAACATTAGAAAATCGATACAGTCATATGCCACGTTCAGAGGTTTTTTAAGAGATGTGCCTCCTACATCAGCAGGCAACGATTCCTTTAATTTAAGGGGCCTGGACTATACAAAGAAACAATTTCCTAAAAATCAATCTGGCCGTAATCTTTCAGCAACTGCATTACCTTTTGGCTGCTCATATATTTTGTCACTATTACCTTCTTAGTACTAATACTGTGGTTTGACCAAAATTGCAAAAGTATGTGAAGCTGTCTATACATAACGCGCTTAAAAGTCCCACTTAAGTTTATATAGTTACTGAAACCAAAATACCATGATTTCAATTAATATTCTTTTGAACATACCTTTTGGAGGAATACAACCTTTTATTCCATGTAGCAGAAAATGTTAGTCATATATTTTGGAACGCAAGTTTGGCATGTAAAGCACTAGTTAAGACGTATCTGGGCAACCACTTACAGAAATTGTTATATCTAGTTTCATTCACAATTAACTTATACTAAAGTAACTTTTTTGAGTTCTATCCTAGACGAAAGAATTTCTATCTTGCTTGGTTTAGGGAGGAATGACATTTCACAAAAAGCAATGCCTATAATCCCTTACTTCAAAGTTACGCGCTTTAAATCCAGATTTTGTCAACTTAATTCTTGTAGGATAAGCTTCCTAACATACGACAATTTTGATGGGTTTTTCTGAAATGGTGCAGACGGTAAATTGTTACCTTTATTCGTTATAAAGTTATTATTAATATAATGTATTATGCACTATTAAGACTCATTTTTGCGTTGTCGCCATGGTCGGTAGACCCTTTCTGATTGGCATTTTAAATGCCACTGATGTGTACTGGTGTATTTTTTTTAATATGGTGGATGAGCTGATTTTTTTCTCGGCTGCAATTAAGGAAAAGGTGAATGTACCAAGTAAACTCTAGTTCGGGTCAACATTATTTTATGTTTCAGTCAACAGAATTTCAGTATGTACGAATGATTGGACACTGACTGATTTATACAGAAATAACATATGTAGATTCGTTGGGGTCCCGTATTCAATATGTACGAGTGAGCTGGAGAAAGAAGCACATGTGCTAGAGCGATAGCAGGGATGAAGCATGCAGGACAAGAAGGACAACGAGTCTGTGGACACCTCATACACACATTTACTCAGGCCAATGACATTTCGAGGTCACGAGCGGTCAAAGTCTGCACCGAAAGGTCGCACCATTTTAGAGCATATAAACTCTATCTACTGGGTTTCCTTTCTATCTCGCTCAAAAACATTTAATATCGGACCTCAATGATTCTGTGCTAATCCTGTAATAACTTTATATACAGGGTTATCCAAATTAAGTGTCCACCATTGGTAACTTTGTTATTAGTAAAAATACAAAGTTGTTTAAATTAGCAAACTAGTAGCATTTTTAACGCTGGTAAAAATGAGAAATAAAAAAAAACAATTGAGAGTCGTTATTTTGATTTTTTTCAGTAAAATAACATTTTTTTAAATGGAAACCCCTGTATATTATATTTTTTTCTGTTAAAGCATCAAATTTTAAACAAAAAAGTTCATAATGACTTTTCCGCTAAAGTCAAAAATAAAGTCAAAATAACGTTAAAAATATTTTTAATTATTTGCAGTATTATAATATTAAGACGGCTATGAAAACAACATGGCGTTCGCGATTTGACAGCATTAAGATAAGCGACAAATTGTTAAACTGGACATACTCGCAACTAGAAGGCTTTGGAAAACAATGATAAAATCAAATAATGTCAAACATTAGTGTAAATACTTGTTTATAAGCTTTATTGTGTCATTAATTTAAAGAAAAATGTTCTCCCATGAAGAAAAGTGTGATATGTTAGAATGCTATTTAGTGTGAAGAAAATCCTCCTTGAGAGCAAGAGAATACTACAGTGAATTATATCCCGCTCGCATTCAACCGTATGAACGATATTTTCTGAGACTTTATCGAAAATTTAGGGGCAACGAAAATGTTTTTGCTAAAACAAGGGCAAAAAAAGAATTCATAATAAGCGAGGCCACGGAAATTGCAGTTATTGGATATTTTGAAGCTTATCGTGAGAATTCAATAGCAGATATTCTCAAGGACTCTAATTTCAGTTATGGTACTGTTCAAAGGATTTTAAAAAAATACAAATTTATTCCGTATAAGTACCGACCAGTTCAAACGCTTTTGGCAGGGGATCCAGAGAGAAGACTTGTTTTTTGCCATTGGTATCTTAGCTTCTGTCGCCAAAATGTAAATAACTTTCGTTACCTTTTATGGACAGATGAATCAAATTTTTCAAATTCTGGAATGTTTAATAGAAAAAACCACCATTATTGGTCATGAGAAAATCTTTTGTTAGTAAATCCAAGAGGCCCACAAGTCCGTTTCAGTTTCAACGTTTGGTGCGGTATAATTGGTTCAAAAATTGTTGGCCCGTTCTTTTATGAGGGAACCCTAACTGGAATTTATGTCAGAAATTCTGACTAATTTCTTAGACGAATTGGATCTTATAAGTAGACATCATCTGCATTTTCAGCAAGATGGCGCACCTGCCCACAACTCCAGAGGTACTTATCATTTTCTAAGTACTACTTTTAATGATCAGTGGATAGGAACAAATGGCCCAATACAGTGGCCTCCCAGATCACCACTTGATTACTTGTTGTGGGGTTACTTAAAGAACCAAATTTACAAGCGAAGGTACGATAACCTTGACGCGTTAAAGACTGCAGTTAGGGAAAAGATAACCCAGATAGATGGTAGGACCATACTTAAGACAGTTCGAGCAGTTGAAAAACGTGCCCAAAAATGTATTGAAGAACAAGGTGGTGTTTTCGAGCATCTTCTTTAAAAAAAATTGTTATTGTATTTTGTAAGATTATAAGTTGATGTTGAAAATAAAGTTTGTCGATACAATTTAATTGTTTCAGATTGGAGGCCATAACTTCAACAATTTGTAACCTAGGAGAAAAGTTATTGTAAGCTTTTTTATTTAAAATTTGATGCTTTAACAGAAAAAATATAATATACAGGGGTTCCATTTAAAAAAATGTTATTTTACTGAAAAAAATCAAAATAACGACTCTCAATTGTTTTTTTTTATTTCTCATTTTTACCAGCGTTAAAAATGCTACTAGTTTGCTAATTCAAACAACTTTGTATTTTCACTAATAACAAAGTTACTAATGGTGGACACTTAATTTGGATAACCCTGTATATATATATAACTTAAATAACTTTTCGAAAGTCTTTTTAATTTTTTTTTTGCGAGCAAACCGAGTTCGTGGATTGAGTTCTGAATCGAGACCGTTTTAAAAATACGTTATACAATGCAAAGGAAGGACAAATGAAATATAATACTTTTAACTGATAAACATGAGTCGCAGTGAAAGAGTGCTGAATGGGCTCCATCTTCTTTATAGACTGGTACATAACTTATATATATATATATCCTTTAAGTTTAAGTATTGCAAAAGTACACTCTTATAACTTAAATTCTCAAGCTTTCGAAGAATTTTATCTTCATCGTCTGGAGTAAATTGGCGAGATTGTTGCTGAAATTGTTTTTAAACAACAGTGAAGGGAACACATAGTCGACGAATAAAAAACTGGACCTATGAGGTTCGATTAGGACGGAATTATATTATTAAATGGCAAATCATTTTGAAAGGTTTTATTTAAAATTAGGCGTTGATTGATTTTGGAAGAAATTTGGAGATTTTAAAACAATCAACTATTGAAAATTCCCCCGAGATTTCATCTATTTTTCCACTGATAACCTCCACATTATCCAACACGTGCCGGCCGACTCCCCCTCCTAATCGAACTTTATCGTTCCAGTTTTTTATTTGTCGAATATGTGTTCCCTTCACTGTTGTTTAAAAAACAATTTCAGCAACAATCTCGCCGACTTACTCCAGACGATGAAGATAAAATTCTTCGAAAGCTTGAGAATTTAAGTTATAAGAGTGTACTTTTGCAATACTTTGCCTTCTACCCAAAGACATTAAAGGAAATCTTCTCCTAACAGTTAAGGCAATTAACTATGAATACTATATATATATATTATAGTACAAGTAAAATCATTAATTTAAGTATAGTTATGAAATTGAAATTCTTGATTCCATTTTGTTTAATGAAATAACCACACATGTTCAACCACAATAAATATATCTATCGACATGCAAAGCACCGCATAAGTTACAGATGCTACATACCTGCTGACCCCGTAGTACCAACACTGTACCACTCCAGGTACCATCTACTGCTAACTGATATAATAAATCAGCTCCAGCCAGGAGATGTCCCTGTTAATATTGCACCACGTGCGTAACATAACATCCATGGTAGGGAATTAAGTTTCAGGCGGAGGTTCGAAAACGCTAGCCTCGGGTTGCTAGCTCGACGCCATGACCACTGAGGTACCGAGGCTCCCCTACCTACGGAACTTAGGTAACCTCTCATAAAGGTGAACTGTAGCTATCAGGTCAAAAGTAAGCTACTACAAGTATTTTCCAATCAGAAATATCCTTAGAGGAACAACAGAGAATGTAAAATTATCATAACAAAAATTCTACGTCGACATTTCAATGTTGTCGATAAGATCGTGATTTATCCTCTGAACCAAGTCGGGCATTGAATCTTTCGCTTTCATCTTTATCGACTCTATATATGGACAGTCGTCAGTTCTAATATTTAGTGTTTTCTTTTCTAGGACAGCAACAGCAGTTTCACTTCGCCTTTGGTCAACGGCCGTTTCCGTTTGCAACTTCTGATCCTTTGTCGGGATTTAGGATGCCCCCTATAGGAAATTGTAACAGTGAGTATATTAATGCAATCACTAAAGCATATGTTTCAGGAATCCGGTCAAAGACTATCAAATCAGTTGTTCCTTCTTTTATTCTTTAAATTGAATATTTTACAAAAACATATTTTTTCACGAAAAGTGCCTAGTATTTTATTACAGGAATATTGAGATTTAGCCGACGTCAAGTATTAAATTGATGGAAGAGTTATTGCAAAAATGCTGTTGCTCTTTGGAGAGCAGAGGGAGGATGCTTTCAAATTTCGGATCTATTGTACAATATACATTGGAAAACATATTTACCAGAAAAAAAGCATTTGCGTAGATTCACTTTTGACCATAATGTAGTACACCGACAGAAATTATTTACATCACAAAATATTTCTAGATGGTTGTATTACAGCGTGCAGTTATTGCGTGCATGTCATCTTCTCATCTTTACTTTTACTCCCCGGCCTACTGGCGGAGGACGTATTGCAAGCATGAAAAATTTCAAAAATGAGAGATGATGCTTCTTGGGTGTTATATGGTACGTATATCACGAATTTGATTTCCGTCGGTCTGCAGGTCCGTTAATTCTGGGCCCGTCTATAACTTGGAAAATACCGCTCGGATTGGAAGGACGGCGTGAACGGCTATAAAAGAAAAAATCATAGCTGATCAAACTTCCTTTTTTGACATTTCAGGGGCTGGGGGTTGCAGGGTATGGGGGATGGCGTATCTTAATTTTTTGAAGTTACTATATTGATACATTTTCTATTACAATATTTCACCCATATATCTTTCCGTACATTCGTGCTGAAGGTCTACGGTTAGAAATATTTTCAATGCTTGGTGTGTATTCCGGTAAGGAGGCAGACGATGACCACCGTGCTGACGGTGCGCTGGCCTGGCAGTTTAGTCATCACAAACGTTTGTGCCGTTACAGGTAATGGGTGAGGAGTAATAGTCTGGTCAAGTTAGCCCAAGAAAGGGCGTCAAGTGTGCTGATTTCACCCTGAATAATGCAAAGCATCCTGTGAAAAATATGAAATATTATATATATATATATACAGGGTGGCCCATCCATGTGTAGACTGAATATTACTCATCAACAAATACATTTTGGGAAAATCTATTTATGGCATGCTATACATGACATTTGAGGGCAAATTTCTAAAATATTGGCAATTATACATTTGACCTACATATCAAAGTTTTGATTTTTTAAATGGCCTCAAATTTTATTGCATATTTCGATAAATCAATTCAGAAGAAGAAAATTGATATAACATACTATGGGGTTTTATTAATTAGCTACTGAGATGTAAGGTCCAGAAAAACCGTTCACTTTCGCAACCCCTCAATCCGCCATTTTGAAATTTGGAGTGCTGAATTTTATATCGAAAAAAACTTACTCACCTCAGCTTTTATCTTATTTGTTACTTTTTCGAATGTTCATTTTTGCTCATGCAGGGTGGTCGGAAACTGGAATTGTACTTTTTCTCAAAAATTTCAAATGCATCATCCTGTATATTTGTGCAAGTTTGGACTCAATTTTTTGTACGCTTTTTTCGTATAAGGTTTGATTCAGATAAAATCACTAGATTTGTAGTTATTAATCTTTTAATAGAACAACTCACCAAAATTAAGGAAAAAAATCATGTCATCCATGGAAACAAAGAAAAAACCGTGGGCTAGTTCCATATTGCCACTAAGGCCCGTATCGTCAGTCGTCCCTACAATTGTAGGGCGCCTTTATGGCCTCCTTGATTGTCATAGTTTTCTACTTCTTCGTGTCAGAACTCTATTTTGAGGTTATGTCACAAACATCTATTTGCATCAAATTGTGCTTGCTTTTGAGTTATATCATGTTTTATGAGCCTGAAATTTCCTACAATTTAAAAAGAAAACATATCTTCACAATAGGAGAGCGCTGACGCTGACACGGGACAAATGTAATCTAGAAATTTTTGAAGGAGAGAAAGGAGTATGACAATCAAGGAGGCCATACACGCGCCCTAGAATTGTAGGGACGACTGACGATACGGGCCTAAGAGTACAGATTTGACGTAAAAACTAATAGTCAGAACAGTATAAATCAGCTTCAAACGTAATAGAGAAAAACAACTATAACAACAACATAAACAAACAACTATCACTACTCAAGACCTAATCTACAAAAACTGCTCGAAAATATCTCCACCATGTTGAATACACAGCCGTAGTATTTAAATAAATGACCGTAGCACATGCCTCAACACGTTTTCCCTTATGTTCAGAAAAGCATCCTTAATCCTTTCCTTCATATTTTCCGGGGTAGATGGTGAATATCTATAAACCTCTTGCTTAACATAGCCCCATAGAAAGAAGCCCATCTGTGTCATATCTGGTGATCTAGGAGGCCAAGATATAGGCCCATCACGACTGATCCAACGATTGTTACTCCAGGTGTCCAAATAGTTACGCACACGATTATGATAATGCGTAGGTGCGCCGTGATGTTGGAAGTACATACGCATCAGAGTTTGCAGGTCGACATCCTCCAAAAGCAAAGGCAAATGCTCGATCAAAAAATTGAAGTATTCTGTACCTGTTAATCTGTTATCGAAAAAGAAAGGCCCGATAACTTGTCTGCAAATAACTCTTCCCCAAACATTCAAGCTCCATTTATTTTGGAAATCTATTTGCCTAACCCAGTAAGGGTTTTCCGTCGCATGATAGTGCATGTTATGCCTGTTGACAACACCTATGCTGTTAAAGGTTGCCTCATCGCTACAAAGAACCTTATCCAGGAAAGTAGTGTCTTCACTCTTCACTTTATTTAGCATTATTCTACTAAACTCCATTTGAGCTGCGAAATTCTGAGGACGAAGACCTTGATGCAAGCATAGGTGATATGGATGGTACCCATGCTTGTGAATAATCCTTTGGAAAGAAGTTCTGCATATATCAGTTTCTGCTACAATTTGCCGTGCACGTTAATGGGGGATTTTCCTGCAACTTTAATAGAACCTCCAACTGATTCGCCTCATTATTGACACTTGGATTACTTATACATTTTTTACTACATTCCACTGCTCCACTTGATTCAAAAGGTTCTCTTGTGTGGAAAATGTTTGCGGCGTTGGATGTCGCATATTACGGTACCGTTGCTCATGCGAGATGCTAGGAAACTACTTCTTTGGGCTTCGCCCAAAACGAAAACCATATTCACCATTTCTTCTTTAGGAAAATTCATTTTCAAACACGTTTTTATTATAAAGCTCACAAAGCTAATTTTGACAGTTTGTAACTGATCAACATTTTATTTGTTTCCAAGGATGATCCGATGTGATGAGGCAAGTTTGCTGCGAACTGAATGAGGATTTTAAAGAAATGGAGTCAAAGAGAAAAATGAATCCAGAACTTTCGCTTAATTCTGCGACGCTTTTTACACTGGTACAGTAACCACATTGCAACAACTCGTTGGGGATTCATTAAAAATAATATTGGAAATCAGCATTGCACCGGTAAAAAACCGGAGCGTGTGTAAACAGAGCCTATCGATAAAAAAACGGTCGATACTTTACCGGCCGTCCAAAATCGTTGTGTGTGCAAGTAGGCTAAGGTGTGTTTATGATTTATGAAATGGGTCTCTTAGTAGAAAAGCAGTGTCAAGTAGAAAGCTTGTCGATTCATAGGAGGACGCGAATTTCATCTAACATTAAAAAAGATGCCGTTTAGTTGAGAAAGTTTTAAGATTACTTGCTAAATTGTTACTACAGAAAGCCTGAGCGGAAAGTTCTTTTAAGAAATCTAAGAAAGACATTTTATGCAAGAAAGCTTTGGGACTTCCCTCAACGAACTTGCAGCTAGGTGGTAAGACTTGGGTTCTTATCAGAGAGGAGACCTTTCTGTGAGAAATGTGCTTTTATAGTAAACTTAAGTAAGTAAGAGATAGTCGACAGAACCAATTTTTGAACTCTTCAAGGTCACTAAGCTGGGATAAACTAGGATCAACTTTATCGGCAGTTCTCGATGAAAAGAGTTCTTATGAGTTAAAACGTGTAATGGAAGTGTGGCGGGTTTGTCTGGTAGGATTAACGTATGATAGTCTAGAAGCAGAGTCCCCATTTTGAATGCAGGGCATTATTGGGCAGCAATAGGGGCATTTAAACATATTTGCCATTCGATCCGAATCGTGATCTTTGTACCCCATATTAAAAAATGGTCGTCAAGCTGTGAAACGGTGATCCAACGTAACGAGAGAGCTGATTTCGACTTTTTAACGCTCATTTGACTTCTTTTTTTAAAGCAAACATTTTATGATTACTTATTCTTTGAATAATTTAGCAGTTATTCAGATATGTCTTCAGATGTTATGGATTTTTGCAGGTATTCAAATACCACTTGGTCTGAGAAAGAAATCTACTTTTGTTAGAGTAAATACCACTTTCGAACAGTTTTGAAAAGTATTAGATTCATAAATACTAAAGTCAGTTTTGACATATTTTACCATGCTGTTGAAATAACATTTTATTAAATCCTTTAAATTACATGATCAGTCACTGAGGTCACCTGTCAGTTCAATGTGTCCTCAGTTTAAATACAGGACATTATTAAACATTGTTGGGGTATGGAAAAACGGGGTCACGTGATCCAAATCGTCACCATTTGTCCGCCATATCTATAAGTGAGCGCCAAGTTGTACAAAGGTCACTCAACATATCTTCTTCAATTTCTTAAAGCTCGTTTTACTAATTTTTTTCAAGGTGAACATATAAATAACCCAATGATTATTGAGGTATACTAAGGCTCTGAATATTTTAGAATGTATGAAAGAATCGATTACCGGCCAGGAACACGTCCACGTGGCGCGATATTGACTATGATCGAACGACCATTAGAAAAGTAGGCCTCGACGGCTAACGCGCGTTCCACTTTCGTTCACTCCACAGAACACATACTCGTAAGATTGGAGAAGTGGGAGCTGCACGTTAAACAACGGCAACACCGTTGACGTTTTGTCAGATGATTGCGCCGCCTACTTACCTGGAGATCTGGAGGAACTATTGAAGGAATTCGAAGAATGCGCCGGGAGATTAGGAATGTGCTGAGGATTTAGTTTGTTACAATTTAAAATGTGCTGGAAGCGATATTTCCCATATTGAAGAAATATTTTGTGAGCATAGACGCATAAAATATCCTCAATAAAGGAAATACCCGGTTCAGCAGTTTTGCTGGTAACCAATTTTGGGATAATAAAAAATAAATGCGTAATTAATAAAATATTTATTAAATAGGTAAATATGAATAATAATAAGTAATAATTTATCGTCACAGTACATTGACAATATATAAAGGTATTTTTAGACATCCGGAGCTTTCTCTATATTATTAAGTGATATTTTAAAAAAAAAATACAAATCATACATTAGTAGCATAATAAACGATAAAAAGGCACCCTCAATAATCAAAGGAAGTGTTTAGCAAGTACAACCTAATGTTAATCCATCATGAGGTATATTATTCACTGAAACGTAAACATTCATACAAAAAATAAATCTCTGTAGTTAAATAAATAACTGAAATAAAAATATAATTTGAGAAAAAATATTATTTTTTATAGTGTAAAAATGAGGAAAATTTTCTTCAAGGAATCAAAAAAATAAACAAGACATTCCTCATACTTAAAACCAAAAGCTCCTGATGTCTGCTCCCTCCCAAGGATGCTGCAACTAAGAAACAAAAAAAAAAAATATTGTTTAGGTATAATATCACAGCAGTATTTGGATACTGAAAGTAAATAGAAAATTCAATGAATGAAGAGTGCTGGACTACATAAAAAAGCATTACCTGACTTTAGCTGTCTTGAATTTCTTATTTGTTGATATACAACTGTTGGTAATCTTACCACTCCTTTTCAAAGAATTTCTTTTTACATATTTGTAAATTCCCAACTAAGCAGTTTTTTAAATTATACCTTTTGCCACATCATGCTGCTGACAAAAGCTGTAATTTTGAAGGATGCAAGGGTACTTCTGTTTAAATTTAACTTCCAGTTGGCCTTCTGTACCATGCTGCTCTAAAAATGCATACAGCTTTTCATCCAGAAGACCAACCAGCTTATTTAAATCTTCACTTGCACACTTCAATCGCTTTTCCTCATCATGCTCTTTAAACGTCACAAATAGATGTTTTTCAGTGACAACCAAAAGAAATAACCTTGCACAGGATTCACAATTACTATCAATTTTGAGTATGTCCAAAATGTACCCAGCCACATAACCATTTGAAGGATTCCATGCAACAGAACTGTCCATTATTTCCATGTTAGAGTCACTTAGAATCTCAGGGTCTAAATCAAGCATCAATCATTACTTTGGTCATATTTATCTAAAAAGTCACTGAAATTGACCAAAGTATCACCAAATCGATTTTACAATTACCTTTAGAAAAAGGTGTGCTGAAATTATTAATAACTACTGTTTTTAAGGCAGCAACAACTGATGACAGGTGGGATTTGTATTGAAGATACCATGCTGTCTTACTTGACCAAACAAACTTTCCAGGGAATCTTGATTTAAATTTCTCAAACAAAGATATTTCAAGCCCTTTTCCTTAAGATCCCTCCATAGTGTCATCACAGATCTAATTGTTATTTGCCAGCCTTCAACAAATTTGAAATAGTTTGATTTGTCAACCCCAGCGACAATGAAAATTGATCTTAATTTGGATAGCCTTGAGTTCAATTCCTTCTTTGATGTACCAGATTTTGTTAATATGCCAGAGCCCTTCTCTAACAAAAAAGAATATTTATCTAAGTAATTAGATTCTGTTCTAAAACCACTTCCACTGATTTCAATGTTTTGATCTTCCAGAATAAGACTGGAAATTTCATTTTGCTCAGAAGGGGTTGGATTTGTGATAGCCTCTAGAGAAGGAGGGTCATTGAATAAAACTCTAGATACTGGTTTAGTAGGATCCCAGCCAGCACAGTGTCGTGGAATTTGTCCGATATAACCACACCAGGTCGATAAAACGTAAATATACTAAGTGACATATAAATCCGAACACCCAGTTTATATGGTTTTATTTTAATAAAATTTTGTATAAGTACTTAATGAAGCATAATAAGTAAATGATAAAAATTTCAAAATGATTGCACTGCTTTAAAGCCCTTTGACCTTTAATAATGTGTGGATGCACCAATGTCCTCCTGTGGTATCTCATTCCAGGCAACCACCAACTCCTCTCGAAGCGCTTCTAGAGTCTGAGGAGGACGTTGCAAATTGAGCAATCTCCTACCCATCATATCCCACACGTGCTCAATTGGGGATAAGTCGGGAGATCTTGGTGGCCATGGTAACAATGTGACATCATTATGTTGAAAGAAGTCTATTGTGACTCTTGCAACATGTGGTCGAGCATTATCTTGTTGGAAAGTTGGATCTGCCAGGGTGTCAAGATAGGGTAAAAGATGGGGTTCTAGAACTTCGTGGATACAACGCTGCGCGTTCATGTTACCTCTGATGAAGATTAAAGGTGACCTGGAACCATAAGCTATAGCACCCAAACCATAACTCCAACAGTGTGATGAACATGTCTTTCAACAAAAAACTGTGGATTCCTCCTTTCACCACGTCGCCTTCTAACCCTGGCACGACCATCGTGCATGCCTAAACAAAATCGAGACTCGTCACTAAACACAATACTGTTCCATTTCTGATCCCAGAGTGATCGTTGTCTGCACCACTCAAGGCGATTACGTCGGTGTTCTCGAGTTAAAGGGAGGACCCAGTGTGGCGGGCATGAAAACAAGCCAAAACTTCTCATTCGTCGGTAAACACTTCGCATGCCAATAGGTCTTCCGTGTTCTGCAAACCATTCATTTGCAATGGACCTGGTAGTGGAGAAACGGTCCCTTAAGGCCAATAATCTTAGGCGGCGATCTTCACGGTCTGTTGTTCTACGGCGGCGTCCAGTGGCCCTTGCTCGTTGCGTACGGCCTTCTCGAAGCCATGCCTGACAACACCTAACCACAGCGTCTACACTTCTTTGCACTCTAACTGCAATTGCCCGAAAAGAAAGTCCAGCTTCCCGAAGTCCCACTATACGGCCCCTATCAAACTCACTAAGTTGACGAAATCGTACAGGTCTCCGTACTCTAGGCATCGTAACCGATCGTAAAGGATGTCAAGAACCAAAATCCGCCAAAGTAGATGTCTTATGGGGATTCGGTCTCAAAACTTCCAAAATCCGCCACCAGAGGCGCTGGCGTCGCGCGCCATTGACAGGTTGTTGGACGGAATCTGTAATCGAAATTCATGAGTTGGGGATTCCGCCGCTAGATGGCGCTGTCAAACCAAACGGAATCTGTGTGTCATTGGACACCTGTCATGCGTCATTGGGCATCTCACGCATAGATGGCGTTACACGTCATCTGTCATACGTCATTGGACACCTGTCATTGATGGGTTGGGCATCTCGCGCATAGATGGCGCCGATTTGTTTGGCGCTGTACAAACCAAACGGAATCTATGTGTCATTGGACAGCTGCCATTGATGGGTTGGGCATCTCGCGCATAGATGGCGCCGATGTCGCACCTGTCTGGTGTTGGCGTGGATTACGGGGGGCATTCAGAACGTGTATACAGGGGTGCATCGAAAAATAGCGGATCGATGGACCGACGGTATATCGTTAAATCGTATATAGCAAGGCGTGACCTAAATAGCGTGGTGGGCTCCTCTGGTCGGTCGGTCGGTCGGTCAGAATGTCTCATAACCTGTATACGATGTACTGTTATTATTATACAGGATGATACCGTTCAAAATGAAAATAGTATAGACATTCTGACAATTATTTCGCAAACCAGAGGTATTTTCAATAAAACTACAATAATACGTTTAATATTTTATTGAAAATAGAAAAAACTACATAGGTAATATGATATTTGAAAACCAGTGGCGTAGACGTTCAACATTTCTCTGGGTACAGGAAAATTGTCCGTTGGTGTGGCATGGATTGGAATCAGCAACAAAGTTTCCAGTAGCACACGGTGTACCATCATACTTGCAAACATCAATAATGTTGGGAAAAACACCAAAAATGTGACATTTCTTGAGTAAAAAGTTTGCTTTCTGTTCTCCACGAACGTAGACATAGTCAGCCGCATATATCACCTTATTTTTAATTATTTCATTTAACTTGGAATATTTAACGTCGCCGGAAGAATATTTAAGCCCATGGAAATTCTTCTCCAAGTAAGCGACAGTTTTCTTGTCTTTAGTATTTAATGTAGAAAAAGGTTGCGGAGGTGTAAAGATGTAATGACTTTTCTTGAAACCAATTTCGATACATAGTTCTTTAGGTACGAATAATCCGTCAACTGTAAAGCCTTGAATGTCAACAAACGCGATCCTCATGATGTCTGATGCGGAACTGAGAGTCCTTCGTTGCTTACGAGATGGTTTTAATAACTTCGGTGAGGGGGAAGTACTCGATTAAGCAGTCATGTATAATGATGCAGTAGGCCTTGGTGTTGGTTGGAAAGCCAGTATCGGCTTCGATATCCAATCTAACATCAACAGTTGATGATTTCATGGTTTCCTCTTGTTTGGAACAGTCAATAACAAACAAAGCGCGATTTTTAAAAGCGGTATAATCTAAAAGACATCTCTTCAGAGGAGAAGAAGAAGTTGTATAGCTGGTTTGAAAGTCGCTATAGTTGAAATGAGCTTCAGTAAAGTGATTGTTTGCAAAGTCCAATTGCATACGTTCGTTGGGATAGTATTCACCATTTAAAGATACTCGAATACTAGCAGCATTCACGTGATCAAACAGGGTAGGGTCTGAGGTTGCGACGTCACGTTTACCGGTTTGGAAACATACTATAATGAAACGTGGTCTTTCGATTGCGGTGCTAGTTTTAACTGACCATATTTCTCTTCTCGCATCTGCGGTAATTGCAGGCAGTTCATTCAGATCCCATTTTCTAAACGGTATAAGTATCGGCTTATCAGTTTGAATAGCTTTCAAAAGTTGTTCTTTCACATCATCACTCGGGTAAATATGTTTGATTTTCAGTTCCATGCTTTCATTAGTTATTTTCGCTGTCGTCGCCGTCGTCGTCGTTCCAGTTTTTTCCTTGATAATGATACAATCGTTATCGTTTCTAGCTCTCACAAATCTGAGAGTTTGTCTGCCACACGTAATCATAGGATAATCATTGAAAATGTTGAAAATATGTTTAAGCGGCATTAGCAAGCTAAAAGACTTGTTATGTGTTGACGCCATTATAGGTGTTGAAGGATAGTTCCATCCAGCTATAGCCATATGATTTGAGTCTTCCTCACTGTAACATACGTAAGCTCGGACAGTACTTACAATACCAGGATCACGTACTGTTTCAACTTCTCTAGCGGATTCACTGTAAGTGCAAGAGTCAAATAGGAAGGCACCAAAGTTTGGAGCTAAAGATACATCTCCTGCTCCTCCTCCAGTTATTTCAACTTTTCCTTTGATAGATAGAAGGGAAGCGTTCATTGCAAAGAACGAATCTACTTGATTGATGCTAAATTCCACAACATCATTACAATTAAATGACTTGATCAACGGCGTATAAGATCTATACTCAGCCTTGCGAATAGATTCATCGAATGCTGGAGATCGATATAGATCAAACATCGGAGAAGTATGTGATGCTGCTGCTGCTGCCTCCTCAGTTTTTCTCTTTTTGTACATGATTCTTGTTGTTGTTGACATGATATCCAAGTGAGCGTAGAAACAGGATATTTGATGTAGTTAGTAGTAGATGTCGTCGCTTAGGTGCTTGGGGTAATACTGAAGTTGCCTTGGAAGCACCACTATGTCTTATAATCACTAATCCCATCTGCGCTTCGCTCTCAACTCCAACACAAGAGTACTAGTTTCACCTTGAAAGTTTACAGGACGACCGTCTTGATCTAAAGCCAACACTGTGATGTTGGTTATTTCTTGTTTCGGTATAACAGGTAGATATAGTAAATTTACAGGTGTTTCGACTATAGCGTATCCAGGATCGGCTGTCACAGCAAATTCGTAGATCGTGTGTGCAGGCGTGTCTCCGTCAAAGGCTCCCGACGTAATGTTAGCATCAAAGTGTATGGTTGATACTTTTATTATGTTTACAGGTAAATCAGAAGAATGCTTTTGACCAGGATTAAGAACTTTTTTCGAGAATCCCAATAGATGTCCAAGATTATTCGGTTCTGTAAAAACTATTTTATAATACTTGCTAAAGATTTCACATTGCAGTGTATTATTGTTAGGTTTTAGAGAAAA